CATCACGGAACAAGAAAGCCTATTCCCTACATGGCGAACCGGTGATTCCCATTTCTAACCGCATCCATTGCTCGGACAGCAACGTTTACAGCTAAGGGATGAAACACAGACGACTTGTTCGCATACAACAGCTAAAAAAATGTTAACTCCATCCTCGACGACCTTTTATATCATTTTACATACATTGAATTTATAAAAATAAACTTAAAATTAGGATTAATGCAAAAATTCACTGTTAATGATTCAGTGACTACTGTTTGTGAAATTCATGGATTATTCATTGCTTTTTTTTACAGTTCCGTGAAATTTTGCCGTGGTGATTTATTCAAAAATATTATGAAATAACAACAAAAAGACGAGGCGGCAAATGCGCCACGCTGGTATCTCGATGCAGGCTTTCCAGAAGCGATTTTTATTCTTTCTATTTCGGCAGCTGCGCAGGCCACAGCTGTGCAAATCGACCGACTGTTCGGGATGGCGAAGTTCCGAAAAACGATGGCGGCAATGGTAAGGCATTGCTTGCTGCTGTGCACTGCCCCATTTGGCTTGCCTATTTAATATTTTAATGTGTTAGGTGCTATGGATTTTTAGCACCTTTCACCCCTCTCGTACACGGTTTATCTTCTTGCCTGATGCTTTTTGGGGCAAACAGTTTGTGGGATAATTCTGAGCAGTCAATATCGCCACAAAATTCGTCACGGAATGATCTTTTTGGGGTTTTTTTTTGACTCATATTTCTCCTAGTCGATTAGGGATGAAACACAGACAGCCATGCGTAAACTCCTCCTCAGCACATATCCTCTTCACATGTTTCACACGTATTGCATAAACATCTCTCTCTGCTTCCTTCCTTCTATTCCTTCAACCCATTCTATTTCATTTGATTCCAGTTCATTATGCTTTTTTTGCGGCAATGCAATGCGAAAAACGCATATTGACGAGAGGTTGTCTGTGTGTGTGTGTGTCTGTGTGTGTATGTGTCTGTGTGTGTGTGTCTGTGTGTGCGCTGCGCGTCTGTACCGATTTTTCATCTCGAGACCGGCAAAAGCTACGGGGCTGAAACTTTGGGGGTATG